TTTTGGCCCGATGACCCATAAGAAACTAATGTTAACTTTGAACCCACTTCGGGAGGGTCAAATATTGTCCGATCTGGCTGAAATTTTTTTTTGAGACCGTTTTTTATGGATTGGCACGAGATGGGCAATGTGAACTTAAACATTTTAACAAAAAGTTTTTCTTGGTCTACTCTAAGGCAGCCGGCGTCTCGCGTACGTGTTGCGCCGGGTGCCGGAAGGGAAGTCCTCGCCCGGGGCGAGGCTCGCTCCAATATCTACGCGTCCTCACCTCAAGGGACCTCTGGCCGACCCGGCGCGACCGCTGCTGCTGCTGCTGCTGCTGCTGCCGTGGCGGCGGTGGCTGTCTCGAGTGGGCCGACACATTATCGGCGAGCTCGTACGGGCGTTCGGCCACGGTCGGGTCGAGTACGGCGCGGAGGAGGGGTGTCCGTTTACACCCCTGAGGGGTGTGTGTGTGTGTGAGTGTGAGAGAGAGGGGGGAACCAGTACTGAGGCTCAACGAATGGAATCGTCCAGCAAGTACGGTCGTCTTTCTCGGATTCATTCGGTGGATCAACGCCTGCGAGACTTGGGGTAGGCCGCCCCGCAGTACACGCATGCGCTGCAGGTGAAATGTTGCCTACCGATCAGGCGCTTTGTGAGCTTGCCTGGGTCGCACTTGCTAGTGTCGTAGCGGCGCATGACGGACGTACTCTCTGGATCCGACCCGATCGCCCCTCCGCGGTCAGACGGATCCCAGGCCGTCACGCTACAACTTGTGGACCAGACTGTACCGTGCCCTCGGTAACGCACCGTGAGGCCGCCCGACGTGCGTGATGCTGGACACCGGCGGCATCGGGAGGCGGCGCCGACTAAACAGAGCAAAATGTTGTATTATTGCATATGACGGGCGGATGACGTAAAGCCCGCAATGCCCTCGCGGTGCGCCAGGACGCGACGCGACGCGCACAGAAAAACTGCTTAATCGCTGCGGATTTGGCGATGTGGCTAAAGCGGAGCGCGACGCGGCGGAGGGGCGAGGTGGCGGCCATAAAACGCATCAGAAGACGCTTCCTTAAGACCGCGGCGGGGCGGCGGGGCCAAAACCCTGGTCCATGTTTCTCTTTCTCGTTCGCGCCGTTTTCCTCTCACTCGCTCGCTCACTGCGCCGTTTGGACCGCGGCGGCGCGGGGCTTTCCTCGCTCTTATCGCTCAGCAGCGACGGACGGACGGGAGAAACGGACGGGCGGACGGGTCCAGCAAGTTCAAAGAGAAGAGGGTGGAGGGGAGGAGGGAAGGCACCCTTCTTAGATCTTACCTACACACCGCGCCGCACCGCACCTCTCCCAAAACCTTCTTCAACTTGAACGAGGTTTATAACGACTGCTTGTTCATAGCGAACTGGAGCCACCCATTTCTCGGGTCACACAGCCGCTCCGCCTTTAAATATTCCCCTAAAACTGACCGCCAAAAGGCATTTCCGAACCCCTCTCCCCCTCTCTTCCACCGCCCCCATGAGCAGCGCATGGCGCTGCATGTTGCACATTACCGGCACGTTATTCAATGGCAGCACCGCCTGACTTGCCGCACTCCACTGCCGTGTCCGGTGCACTACATTGTTTTGGCGGGGCTGCGCTAATCGCGGGTCCTGCGCCCTGCGCGCCGCGCCCTTCAAACACGGCGCTGCGCCTCGCTCGTGCAGTATTTACCTCTCAACGCCTCGCACCCGCTCCTCTTCAGCCCCCCCCC